GTACTGAAGGAAGGTCATAGCAGGAAATGGCATAGCAGGAAATTCATGGGTTTTTGGAGGCAAATTACCTAGGTTAGAATCTTGGTTCTGTTGCTTATATATTAGATAAGAGTAAGGCCAGGTGGAGGTGGTGCCCGCCTTTAATCCCAGCACTCGGGAGGCAGAGCCAAGCGGATCTCTGTGCGTTCGAGGCCAGCCTGGGCTACAAAGCGAGTTCCAGGAAAGGCGCAAAGCTACATAGAGAAACCCTGTCTCAAAAAACCAGAAAAAAAAAAAAAAAGAGTAAGAAGATAACCACTCTGTTGTGATGATTCCCCTGCAGGCTTTACAGCAGGCAGGAAAAAAATCTTCCATGAAGAGACAAGAATGAAGCTCGGCTCAGCCTGATTTTATTGTACCCGGCTAAACCAGGACTTGTAGAGTCTGGCCCAGATCATTTTAATTTAACCGTATTTAAGCACAGCACAATTTTGAAAGAAGCATTCGGAAAACAATGAACTCAGTCCCAGGTGCACAATAAATGAAGACATGCTTACATCGAGATTCCTTACAAAGTCCATCTGGCTTCTTTCACAAGAATGGGTCCTGTTGACTCAGAGATAGTGGCCAAGATTTAGGGTCTAGGAAGATGGACTGAGGTAAACACAATGCCTGTGGGTGTCAGGATTGGCCTGACCCTAGGATAACAGAGAAGTCACTTAGGCTGGTGTAAAGCACAAGTCACCTCACTCATAAAAGTGGGTTTTATGGTCTAAAAGCAATGCTTAGTAATTATGGGAAAAGGTCTTGGATAAGTAAAAAACGTAAATTCTGGGAGATAAGGGCAAAGCCTGTCTCAGCAGACATCAAAGGACCACCATGTTGTAAAAGGACATCACTGGGTCTTAGTTTGTTCATCGCTAAAACAAAGATAACAGTATCTTCTGTAAGGCTTACTCAGAAGGTACACTCGTCCCCTTAGAACGGTGACTCACACATCTCTTCCTCCACCGCCACTACCCACCTCTTCATCCTCTTTTGTTCAATGCTCAACCAGAGCCTCGTGGAGTAATTCTTATTTCTAGATTGCTGTGTGATCTTGAGCCATAATAGTTTCCCCTTTTAAGACAAGGAGTGGCAGCTGGCTGTGGTGTCGTCCTGATGTGACTGCAGCCAGGGGAGGCTGAGGAAGGAGTTCCATGACTTCAGGCCAGACTACAAAGCGAGCTCAGGAGAGTGCTTGCCCGATAGGAATGAAGCCCTGGGTGACATCCCAAGCAATGGATAAACTGGGTATGGTTCAATCCCTAGTACCACATAAACTAGTTGCAATGATGTACTAGATTCTGCATGAGAGAAAATACAGAATGTTTTTCTGATATATATGTGTGTGTACATACATATATGAGGGGGGAGGCATGAGAGAGGCACATGAGAGCAGAAAAGACTCTTTTTCCGGAAGGGAGGAAGAGACCTGGGAAGAGGTGGAGAGAAGAAGCAGAGGAGAGTAGTGGGGGGAAATATGAGCAAAATATAATGATATATATGTAGGAAAATATAATAAAATGCATTATTTTATGCACTAACTAGAAAAATTAATAACAAAAGTGTAGAGTTGAACTAGATACATATGTTTCTAAGTTTACAGAGGCAGTTGTAGTCCCAATATTTAATTTTCCACTGTTTAGTATTATTCTCTAGTGTTCTTGCATTTCTGCTTTTCCCATTACTGATGGGTGGAGATCACAGAGGATTTACACTTTTGACCTGTGCTAGCTCTGGCTTCAGAACCCCAAGCATCTGTACCCCTCCCCCCATGTACGTGTGTGTATGTGTGTGTGTGTGTGTGTGTGTGTGTGTGTGTGTGTGTACGTACAAATATAAACCTGTAGATGGATATTTTTTGTATCTTGCTGTTGCTTTTCTCACATAGGTGGGATTTAGCAAATTTCTGTCCTTTTTTTGTTCCTCCCGAAGGGAACTACTTATCCATTATTTATGCCCCAGCCTAGCTGTCCCTATAGATGCTAGAATTAGATCCACTCCCCACTAAACTGTGAATCTGACAAAAGTAACTATGTCTATTTGCTTGCTCCAGAGTCTTCTCCTTGATATCTTACAGTGCTTGGTCCCAATAAGCAATTGACAAATAATTCTTTTTTAAAAAAGATTTATTTATTTTATGATCATTGGTGTTTTGCCTGCATGAGGGTGTCAGAACCCATAGAACTAGAGTTACAGTCTTGAGCTACCATGTGGGTGCTGGGAATTAAACCCGGGTCCTCTGGAAGAGTAGCCAGGGCTCTTAACTGCTAAGCCATCTGTCCACCTGACAACTATTTCTAATATTGACCATTAGTAGCTTTTTTTTTTTTTCTTTTGGGTTTTTTGAGACAGGGTTTCTCTGTAGCTTTGGAGCCTGTCCTGGACTAGCTCTGTAGACCTGGCTGGCCTCGAACTCACAGAGATCCACCTGCCTCTGCCTCCCGAGTGCTGGGGTTAAAGGTGTGTGGCACCACCACCCGGCCCATTTTACTTATTTTAAGGTGGGTGTTGTGGCATACACCTGTAATCTCAGCACTAAGGAAATGGAGGCAGGAGGATTAGAAATTCTAGGACAGCTTGGTGTACCTGAAACCCTAGCACATAACAAAAAGCCACATTATAATTTAGAGCTTCCCAATTTAAAAAATATAACTTATAACCCTGAATTCACCAATTTTCTAAAATGTTGGTTTGGGATAGAACAATACTTCACTGGTCTTAGTTTTAAGAATTCTTTTCTATCTGACTCTGGTTGTCTATACATAGTCTCCTTCCAAGATAAGCTGGCTTTCTGAGTGGATTATTAAATGAAAGCATTAGTGTGTAATTAGTTCTCACTTAACTTTTAGCTTGATAAAAATGCACATTTAGGAAAATGAAAGTTACCATATAAGGATTGCAAAGTTTGAGTTTTTGATCATCTTTCACATCAGGGAAAATATACTCCTTTTCCTAGATCTGTCTGTCTGTCTGTCTATCTACCTATTTTTGTGGTTTTCCTGAATGCTAGTGGCAAACTCAAAATCTCTACCATTGGGCTACATTTTCAGCTCTCTTATGTTTTATTTTATTTGATACAGAGTTCTTATTATATTGACCAGGCTGACCTTGAACTTATATGGTTCCTCTTGCCTCTCTCTGCCTCCTGAGTGTTGGGAATAGGTATGTGCTACCAAGCTCATTCTTCCCCATTTTAAAAAGTGACTTTACAATAATATGTTTTCCCAAACCTAGCCCTTATTCTATCACAATTAAAAAAAAAAGTTTTAAAGTGTGTTTTCACCTTAGCCTCCAACTCCCTAGGTAGCCCAGAATGACCTTGAACCTCTCTCTTGTTACCTCCCCAGAGCTGTGCCACCAGGACCAGTTCAGGAAGTGCTGAGGATCAAATCCAGGGCTTTGAGTATGCTAGACAAGGTACATCCAACTGAATTAAACATCAGCTACCTACCTTAGCTGTTCACTGATAACTGATTCACCCACATCTCCCCGATTTACTGATTCACAGAGGTGCAGCCTTTACCCTGCACCCGGCAGCCCACCTTCCGATGTCAAACAAGGAATGCTTATCTCTGCAAGTCTGTTGTTCTTCGAATAGCAATCACCTGACAGAGGCCTTGGCTTTATTGCAGTTTATCATCTTGGCCTAACAACTCCTTTAGCGATATTGAGGTGTTGGAGAACAAAGATCTGGGGATCCCGCAGCTGCTGCTTGAAGATCTTGACTGAAAACATATTCTCTGTTTCTTCATAAAACGCTTTAAGGCAGAGCTGCTTGAAAATCAGGTCTTAGCCAGTGCAGTGTGTAAGCAGTCTGGGTGGAATTAGACCTGGCTTTACATGTTGACTTTAGTCACCTCAATTTGTCTACGTTGCAACATTTAAATTGCACACAAGTGTCTCCTCGGAATCTGTTGTGAGAATGAAACCGAGTTAACATAGGTTCCACTGATTTATTACCTAGCATACAGAAAGCACTGCTTATATACTGTCAGTATTGACGGCAGCGAAGGACCGCTTAACTGGGAAGAAACTAGAAGAGCCCTTCATTCGACTACAAACTGCCTTCTTCTTGGTGATAATGTACGTGTGTGTGTGTGTGTGTGTGTGTGTGTGTGTGTGTGTGTGTGTGTGTGTGTGTGTGTGTAAAAGCCAAGGGGCAATGTCTAAAAGCCAGCAGCCTTCCTCCCCTCATTAGGATGTAAGCTGTGTGGAAAGATCCCAACTATTTGAGCCGCTTGTTTGTGTCAAGCTAGGGCCTGGGAGGATGGGTGCACGTGATCTGCTGGGAAGGCCAGAGGTCTGAAGGGCATGGGAGGTTAGAGTAACCAGCCTGCTTTAGCTTATCACGGGAGGCCATGTTCTTATCTGCCCTCCCTGCCTGTTTCACGGGCTTTACGCGTGTAGGTGTTTCGCCTGAATGTATGCCTGGTGCCCGCAGAGGCCAGAAAAAGGCACGAATGCCCTGGAGAGGAGTTAACGGCGGGTCAGCAGTCGCCATGTTGATTGCTGGGAATCGAACCGCGGTCCTTCGCGAGAGCAGCCAAGGCTCTAAGCTTGAGTACGTCACAAGAGCAGGAGCAGCCCATTATCTGAGAACTCGGGATCGGCGAGAGGGCGGACATGCCGGAGGAAAGGGGCAAGGCCAAGCGTTCGGGAAGACCGCGCCGGGCTTGCCTCGTCTAACGTCATGCGGGCAGGTCCAGGGCTCAGGAATTCGCAGAGCGGCCGCCAGGCCCCGGCCCCAGGCCCCGGCCCGCGGCCTCCGGCGACGGCGTCGACGCTCAGGCCGGGCGTGGCCGTCGCCCCTTTTGGCGGGCTCGGCCTCGCGAGGGCCCCGCCCACCGGCGCCGTCTCTCTGCATTCGCGAAGGCGGGCCCTGCGCTCCTATTGGCCGAGCGGGCCCGCCGAGGCCCCGCCCCTCTCCCGGGCCCGACGCGAGCACGTTGGGTGGCCCGGTGGAAAAGCCGCCTGCAGTCGGGAGCGGTTCTCGGGGCGAGCGGCGCGCTCGGACGTTCGGCAGGCGCCTCGGAGGCCGGCGTGCGGCCCCCCTACCCCCCGGGGGCGGAGGGGCCGGGTCGGTAGCGAGGAACTCGGCGGCGGGGGCCGCCCTGCCCCCAAGCCCCACGCCCCGTCGGCCCGCCGGGCGGAAGCTTCCCGGGAGCGCCTCACGGCCGCGCGATGGCGACCGCCGCGGAGACCGAGGCCTCTTCGACGGACGCGAGCTGGGAGAGCGGCGGCGGCGGCGACGACGGGATGAAGCCTGCGCTTCCGGAGCTTGAGTCCTCTCCACAAGATGGCGGCGGCGGCTCCTCCACCACCTCCACCGCGGAGCTCGGCGGCGGCGGCGGCGCGGGGCCCGAGGAGACCGCGGCAGCCGAAGCCGCCCGGAGCCACGGCCACGAGCAGCCTCAGCACACCTCCGAGGCGCCCGCGGCCGCTCTCCCCAAAGGCGCCGAAGAGCCGGAAAGGCCTGTTAGGCGGAGTTTTCAGATCCCCAGGAAGAGCAGAGAAAAGAAAGGTGGTGCCTCCCCTTCTCCCCGACCCCCTCTCTATCTCTCTCTCTCCCCCCCCTCCTCCATCTTCTCATTAGGACCTCGCTGCCTTCTCCTCTTCTTCCCACACCCACCCGAGACACGTAAACACGCACGCGAGCAAGCGCCCGCCGTCTCTCTCGCCCTCGCTGCCACGGCCACCCAGCTGCGCTTGGGGCGAGAGCAGAGGGTGGAACCACGCTCCGCCGCTCCCCCTGTCCCCGTGGAAGCTGGAAGTAGCTCAGGTTTGAAGCGTATCCATAAGGCTGCCGCTCCCCGAGAGGAAAGATGGGGCTCGGTGCCCCCTCCTTCCCAACCCCCGATGGCAGAGAAGCTGATGTGGCCGCCTCCTAAAGATGCTTCTGAGAAGTCGGCTTGTGGAAATAGCCCGTGGCCATGGATTCTGAGGCTTTCTCCAAGGCCGTTGCGTTCTGAGGACAAGTGTTTTCTCACTATGGAAATTCTCCAGCTATGAGTGTCTACTTGAAATGTGCTCCATGCCAGCGTCTTCTCTTATTTAGAAAATCTCCATTAGGATATGAGCTCCATGCACAGTTTTCCATCACACTTCATTTCCATATAGGTTTTTTTTTTTTTTTTTTTTGGAAGCATTAGATTAAATAGGATTCTTATGTTTAACTCCAAACTTACTATGGCATTTGCATTTTAAAAGGATGGGAAGGTAGGTTCTTGGTGCATTAATTTCCCTATGGGGGGAAAATGAGAAGTTCTATTATGACCAAGAATCTCCAATTTACCTTGAACTTCCGATTTTTAAGAAGTCTACTCTTTATTTTTGAAATCAATGTAGGAACAGTTACATTTTTTTTTTGAAATCTTAGTGCCATATTGTAAAACGTGCAACACTTTCGTTAGAGTAGGTTTTGACTGTCCAGTAATTTGGAATTTTCTGGATTTGGTTTAAATTTTCCCTTCTTGCCTTACTGCGTGTTACAGTTTTTTAGTGGTTTATTTCCCAGAGCTGATTTTTTTTTTTTTTGTCATTCAAATCTGAAGACTTAGAATCTTGATGGACATAATATGCATCTGGGTAACCAACTCTATTTTCACAACTGAGATTATGAAAGTACAAAGAAAATTCCTTTCTATTTAGATGACAAAGGCAAGGAAATAGCACGAGAAAGCATTCAGAGGAGGATGAAATTGACCTTTGCCCACCTAACTTGAATGTTTCTAGAAACATTCTTTAAAATGAGGTAATGTAATACTTTAGGATGTAAGGCAAGATAGTGAATTCTCTTGGTGTAGTTGAGGTGTGGATGGTTGTGTTGATACAAGAAAAGTCACTCATCCCCAAAAGCCATTGGTAGAATAGGTTGGAAGTTCTTTCATATAGGATCTGATTATGAGCCTTGGGGGCTTAACATTTCAGACTGTACCAAAGCCTTTTAAACATCTCTTTTAGATTTTAAATGACTAAGGGTGTGAACAAACCACCTTAAAAACTAAACAACAACAAAAACGCACTGAACTGGCTTAGCCTTAGGATTCGGTTTGAAATATGGGTAAGGTGGCATGTGTTTCTTAAATTGCATAAGCCAAATCCAGAAGTTGCTCTGAGTGCACTTGAAAGTACTAAAAGTGGCATAGGGAATTAGGGAATATAAACCCTAGTTGCTTTCTCCATGGAGTTTGATATATTCCTTGGGGGAAATGTTTATATTTTCCATTTTGTCTAGGGATACGGTTTTATGCTCATCTGTAAGGGAGGTTGTAGTTAAGAAAGCATGGTAGACTTCATGTTTACTGAAAATAATTGTTAACATCTAACTGTACACCAGGCAGCAGTTCAAATAGTACATGATAGGGCTAAATCAAAACTTTTTTTCCCCCTCTCTGGAGCTGAGGACCAAACCCAGGGCTCTATCACTGAGCTAAATCCCCAACCCCCTAAAAATCACAACTTTTAAAAACAAAACAAAACAAACAGACAAAAAACAATAGAGATAGGATCTTTTTAACTTGCTCCAGCCTTGAGCTTGAAATGCTTCTGCCTAAGCCTCCCTACTAGCAGAAATTACTGGTGATAGATATCATGATCTAGCTCTTAATTTGGAGCTTTCAACAACCATCTCGGATATTGTTGTATGTTGGGAGAAGTTGACTTGGAGTTTCAACTTTTTAGTAGAAAAACATTTATCACTTTAGAATGATTATAGGAGTGTTTCTTTTTCTTTTTGTTTTTTGAGACAGCCTGGAACTTACTATTTAGATTAGGCTGGCCTGGAACTCAGAGATCCATTTGCCTCTGCCTCACAAATGCTGGGATTAAAGGTGAGCACCACCACACCCAGCCTATTTCTCATTTTCTTTAACATCACATAATAGGCTTATAGTGAACAGTAGAGAACAAGAAGTTAGAAGAAAGGAAAAAAAATAAACGGTATAGGCATTGTTAGTTTCATTCTAACATTGATCGGAAGGTTTGAAAAGTATGTTCAGGTTTTGGCTTGTTGTACTAGTCGACATCTGACTTACTAGAATAAGAAACTTATAGATAGGCCTTGAGTTTTTAGCATCAAAAGTTTTGTTGCATTCATATTCTAATAGGCGACTATTTATGGTGAAATTTGAAGTTAGTATGTTAATTAAAAAAAACATAAAAGTAAATACCATTCAGTATAATTTATTGACTTTCAAAGTTATAATGGAGACAGGTCTTACTGCATAGCCCATGCTGGCATCAAATAATGTAGCAGTCTTCTTGCCTCAAGTATCCTAAGTGCTATAGTTTCATACCTATAGCAACTCATCCAGCTCTTAAATGTTTACTTGATCTTTACTTGATCATAATAGCATGACATCTAAATACTGCCATTTTAGTGGCGTAATAATACTAGCGGGCAATATAGTACTTGTACACAATAATTCTCAAGAATCTTGTGTGGTAGATATTATGTCCGTTTCACAGAAAAACTGAAGTACTAAGAAGTAACTTGTCAATTAGTAAATTGTGCAGATGGAATTTGACCATATATATAGATTACTTGAACTACTTAACTGTGAAGCAAGGCTATTAATAGTCTAAATTTTCATGTTACTTCTTTAGGGAGGCAGGGCTTATTTTGGCTCACAGTTTCAGAGTGTAGTCATCATGGTGAGAAGTTATAACAGCAGAAGCCTGACGGTTGATCACATTGCATACATCCACAGTCCCCTTTTGAGGCAAGAGCTCCCTTTGTAGCACAGGCTGGCCTCAAACTCATATTTGATAATGCTCTCTTAGCCTTTAATGTTGGGTTTATGGGCTTGTGTCACCACCAGTGACATTATAATCTAGTATTAAAGTTAACTTGATCAGTTGTATGTTTTGTTTCCAGTGAAATTAGAATAGCATATATTCAACCTTGGGGAGAACTTTGAGATGGAAAGATTATGTTCACCATAAATACTAGAGGACTATATGTTCTAAAAGGTTTTGTATTTTAATATTTTTTTTTCAGAGCAGATAGAGATTTATTAAGTTGTGAGAAATCCCAAGAGTGGGAGGGGGTCTGAGGGATGAATACCTGGATCTTACTGATTTTGATGTGTGTTGTAGTATTTATTGGTTGGACTATTTTCTGTAGTATAGAGAGCCATGAGCCAATAGAGACATCTATATTGTCCTGTAGATGCATTGCCATATTTTATTCTACATCTAGTATGTTATCAAAAGTAAATTATAATTAGTAAATGAATTTGACAGTATTTCTCTCCAAAGTTCTTAGACTAGTAGTACAGTTTATAAAAGATGTTCATCTTTTCAAACAAAATCTGCACTTGTCTTTTTTTTTTTTTTTTAAACTTCCTGCCTCCATCTCCCCAGTTGCTGAAATTGGACCTGGCTCTATAGTTGTCTTTTGTTTGTTTTGAAACAGGGTTTCTCTGTGTAGTTTTGGTGCCTGTCCTGGATCTTGCTCTGTAGCTCAGGCTGGCCTCGAACTCACAGAGATCTGCCTGGCTCTGCCTCCCGAGTGCTGGGATCAAAGGCGTGCGCCACCACCGCCCAGCGGTAGTTGTTTTTTTGAGTCATGGTGTTTTAGAATTGAATCTGGATGATTGGATTTTGAAAACAATGATTTTTCTCTACATAGAAGTAAACCTAGCAAGAAATTTCATTTGTAGTGGCTCATGTTGACTTACGCCAGTGTATTTTTTACTAACAGCATTATGTTCATTCAACATTGATGTAGAGATGAAACACATTCTTAAAACATTGTCAGGTATTAATTTTTTTAGATAGAAAAGCCATTTACAGATCAGTTGTGAACAAATGGAGACACATTGTATGATAGTAATTAAGACCAGTAGATAGTAGCCTTGGACTCATAATCATAGACCACCTTTGGTCACTAGCTGCCCTGCTAATTATTTCCTTTTCTCCCATGTAGCTCAGGCTAGCTTTGTTTTGTTTTGCTTTTGTTTGTTTGTTTTTGTTTTTGTTTTTTTATTCTGGACAGGGTTTCTCTTCAGCTCTGGCTGTCCATTTTGGCCTCAGCCAGGGGGTGGTGATGCACACCTTTGATCCCAGCATTCGTGAGGCAGAGCAATGCGGGTCTCTGTGAGTTCGAGGCTAGCCTGGTCTACAGAGCGAGATCCAGGACAAGCACCAAAACTACAGCCTCAAACTCAGAGTTCTCTTCTGGGATTTAAGGTGTGCACCACCATCGTCTGTCAATTTACAATTTTTTACTAGCATATATTCTATACAATAAGGCTTATGGGTTTCATTATGGCATTTTCATATATGTACATGATGTCATATCATAACCCCATTACCCTCTTGTGTCCCTCCAAACAACTTTGTTTTTAAGAATTATATGTGTATGGGTGTTTTGTTTGTGTGTCTGCACCGTGTATTTGCCATCAGATGCTCTGGAACTGGAGTTACAGTTGTGAGCTGCCATGTGGGTGCTGGGAACTAAACTAAACCAATGTCCTCTGGAAGAGCAGCCAGTCCTCTTAATTGCTTGAGCCATCCTTC